CTCACAATTCATTGACATAGACCGAATGCCTGGCTGGATTGCTATAAATACCCGATCCCTCGCCGGCTGAACAGTCGTTCGCAAGCATTCCTTTGTCGCCCTGGGTGAAAGAACATCGAACGTAGCTCGTCTCTGCGGCTACTCTTTGGTATGGATTAACCTCCAAATCATGCAATGAATTGAGCTGACCTCATAATTGCAAAAGCTTAACCTTTCTCGATATCAAGTTTTCGAACAGTGAGTGTAGCTGCCCAGTCATTTGAAATCATGCTAACGCCAAAGATGCTTAATATTAGTCCTGCCTCCGCTATTCCGCTGAGCACCCATTGAACGAACCTTTCAAGATTCTGAATGGTCCAAGTTGTGAGCACAGTGGGTTCCAAGTTGCCTTCATGAACTGCTTACTGATGATTGATGATTGATGATAAATTGATGTCATCCTTTATACAGTCCCTTGCAGCCGACAGCAATATCTGAAAATGTAAGTTGCAAATTTTGCAGCGATTCTGAAGGCAGATATCATGTGCTAACGACCCTCCATATAGGATGGCAAGCTTCATATTGCAAGTCACTCAATGAATCGTAATTTACGCTTGGGCTTTGCCCCTGCCCATTCCCAACGCCGGGTACTGCATTTTGATATCCGTGGGATTACTATCCGTTCGTGGCTCTCTGTTCCTCAGTAAAGATCGCTGATGACTCTTTTACACTAGACCTGACAACCTGACAGAGCTATGTTCCCCCCTCCTCTATGAAACTCAACCAGCTGCAACAATCTGATGGGCGAAGCCACTGGATTTTACTACGCTTGCGCCTTGGCTGTCTCTGAAGACGTGGTTGGCACGGCCACTTCACCTGGCGTATTAGCGGGCCCATTTCAGAAAGGCTTGATACCCTCTGCTTCGCCATGCGATAGAATGTCAAGTATTTTCATTCCTCTTTTCAGCATTACCCTGTCCAAAAAAAGTTGACACTCAATGTACTAGTTTTTGGCAATATTTCGACGGCTATAAATATCCTGTTCACGTCGAATCCGAAGGCTTGTCGGTAGCCATGAACCAGCCTCACTGTTGACCGAGCGACCCATCGGAGCATCTGCAACAACGAAGAGAAGCCAAGAATCGACCACAGAAAAGAACAACTATCTCCCCGAGGAACATCAATCGGCAATTCAAACGGGCTATTGGCAACAGTCTAAAGGCCAGATATTTCAATCCCTCATTGCAGCTGAGCAAGCGATGACAGCCCATGGCTTGGATCTATAATGGATCCCTCACCATGAGACCAGTCATTTTCCGGTCAGGCCGACGTTTGTCGCAAACAAAACACCATGGATCTCTTGTCTGGTGGTACGTTGCCCTGACATAGTTGAAGATTTGCCCAGAATCGTGCATTGGCAGGTACGGCTACATCCATTCCCCCGTGAAACGAAGTGATCCCAGGCCCTCCACGTGTGACCAAGCTGAGCCTGCTGCCTCATCCCTGGTTTTTCTATACTGATTCCAGGCTGCATCACGGCAAGTCTACCCCACCCTCAGTCAACAGAAATCAGTTAACATAAAGAGGCAGTGAGAGACAGCCCTAATTCAGCCGTTCTGGCGAGTCCGATCGAGAAAGTGCATTATAGCTGGCTATGGATCTCATCGAAGCCACGAACAAGGTAAGTTCCGAGCGACCGTATTGTACCAGCTGCTGATAATTGGTGCCAGATTAGGTATATCCAGCGGCAATTGCCTTGCCTGTGATCTCATGCAGACGGTCATTTAAAGCTGCCATAATGGCCTGCTTCATGAACGAAGCTGGCAAGTACGCTCTCGTCATCGGCGAAGAATTTGGGCAGCCAACCGACCATATGGCCAAATCGCTGATATGAAGATGGCTGTTTTCTCCCAATGTGGCCGCGGGCCGATCGAATGCTCCCTCCTCGATGTCATCACCGAACTCCACGAACTCATCAGTAGAAGGAGCCCCGTAAAGTACGACCGGTCGGTTGCCGCGACGATTGCAACTGCTCAATTATTGATCGAATATTTCCATGTCAGTTTTTGATAACTCGTGGATAAGACGTACTTATTAACTTCAAACGTAGCCATCATATTTCTATCAGTGTGGGAATGTCACGTATGCCCGACGCGAGACGCTGCGACGCGTCGTGCACGGCCTCGTCGCCTGTAGCACGCGCCCGAATACCGCCGGATGCTGCCTGGGGTCGGCATGATCAAGTGACTACAGGAAAGTCAGTTTATTAAAATCACGAAGTGGCCAAGAGGTAAAAATCAACCGTAGAAATCACGAAATCACCCGGAGAATCAGGCAGGTTTTGATCTGTCTTTCTGATGAAGGGTCATCTGAATGTATCCCGCAGGAATTGAACCCGCGCCGTTCTAGAAAGTCACTGCAGCAATTCCATTAGACCACATGAACGGAGGTGCTGGCGGCGGGAATTCTACTTAATCATAGACACCATTTCCCAAATAATCAGTCGTTTCTGGACGCACCTAGCTAGACCAGCATTTTGAGCCCCACAAGTATCTTTCGTCCGATCAGACCGACACGAAGATTTGTTTAGAAGAATTAGGCTTTCTATCGCTGTTATTCTGGTGGTTCGTTGCCGTTTCGATTGCCGGTAATGTATATACTAGGATTGGTCTGGGTATATATATGTCGGAACGTTGTCGTTACAGTACGGACTAGTACGGGCATAGCCAATTGAGTACTTGAGAGTGTTGATTTTGAATACTATGGAAAGTACAAAATATATGCGATGTGGGCTTAGTAAGATCGTTAAAAGATGCAAACATGGTTGAAAACAATGGCATATGGGGGTGCTGGATAATTCTCGGGCGCACTAGTAAAACTGTGACCCTCTTTTATCGACACACCCCCCCCAGCAGCCGCCGTATGCCCGAGAACGTGGTGTTGAGTGCGATCTTCCTCTCTCATTTCTACCTCATTTCACAAGGTGCTGTATGTCCGTGAGTCCGAGAGCTCGCATGAATTTTCCGTGATTCTGGGTTGGGAGCAGTTTTGTGAGTCCGTCTGCGGCCATATCCTTTGTGGGAACCCAGCGGATAGTGATCCCTCCGGTTTGTACGGCCTGCCGAAGCCAGTGGTGGTGAATATCGACGTGGCGAAGCTTAGTGCCTAGCTGCGGCGACTCCTTGGTGAGAAGGGCCACAGTTTGGGCGTTGTCGCACTGTATTTCCATCGCTTCCGAGTACTGGTATTCAAGGTTGACAGCGGCGAGCAGACGTTTCCACCAGAGTGCTGATTTCGCTGCCTCGGATAGGGCTAGTAGCTCTGCCTCTGTGGTAGAAGTCGTTACGGTCCGTTGCTTCCCTGCTTTCCAGTCGACCGCCCCTCCAAATAGCTTGCAGAGGTAGCCTTCCGAGCTCTTACGATCCGTGTAATCACCGAATGATGCATCGCTAGCGAATTGAAGGGCAGGCTCGAGGTCATGCGTTGGATGGAATTCGAGGGTAAAGTAACGAGTGGAATCGAGGTAACGGATGAGCCGATCGGCTGCTTCAAGTTGTTGCGGTCCGGGATTAGTGAGGAATTCGGCCAGGTGGCTAGCGGACTTTGCAGCGTCCGGACGGGTAATAATGGTCCCGTAAAGGACGGATCCGACCTTTTGCTGAAATTCGTGGATCTGCGCAGCTGTAGCTTGGCCTGTGAACGCCGTGAGGCGTTCGACAGGTAATGGTGAATGGTATTTCCGACCGCTAGAGAGATGGTAGCGAGCAGCTACTGATGAGAAGTAGGAGTCTTGACAAAGCCAAAGTTTATACTGCTGCCGGTCACGCAGGATTCGAATCCCAAGGAACCAGGTGGCTTCTCCCATATCACGAAGCTCCCAGTGCTTCTGAAGCTGCGTACGAAGCTGGATGGCCTCGCTAGACTTCGAACGGTGGTAGGCGATGATGATGTCGTCTACATAGAAGAAGACGATGATGCCGCTGCGAGTGAAAAGGCATAGGTCTTCTGGAACAGCCTGGAAGCTAAGCTTTTCGAGTACTCGGGTGGCTTCTTGTTGCCAGAGCCTCGGGGACTTTCGCAGACCATAAAGGGCTTTGTTCAGCTTCCAGCAGCTCTCTTTATCTGTGAATCCTTCAGGCATCTGAGTATAGACCTCTTCATTCAGAGTACTATTCAGAAATGCGTTCACAGCGTCTAGCTGCATGGTTTCCAGGTCGAAAGCCGCAATTAGCGCGAAGATAGATCTCGCTGTACGAGCTGCGAGAGTTGCGGCTCGTTTCTCTTCTGAATCGATGGCTTGGAGATCACCACGTACACAAATGCGAGCTTTAAGCTTCTGGAGAAAGCCATTGCTGTCGAATTTGTAGGTGAAGACCCAAGTGAGAGGCAGCACTTGAACGCTGCAGTCTTGGGGCCGTCTTCCGGTGGTGTATGTGCCTCGCATCCGTAAAGATTCAATCTCGAGTCCTGCAGCAGCCAACCAGCCTTCACTGAATGTGTGGCTAACGGCTTGTTTCCAGTTCTGGGGTTCAGGTGGCAGATCGTCGCGATGCTTCCGGTGCTGATCTGGCGTTGGTGCAGAGATTGCAGTGGCAAAGGCAGCTAAGACCCCTCCCTGATCTTCCTCGTTATCGTGCGTGAAATAGCTGGCGAGGTATGGGTCTGAAGGTGGCTTTCGCTTCCGTTTGCCCTCCACGACATTCTCTTCTGATATCCCTTCTTGGCGCCGGTGTGGTAGCTGAAAATTGATCGAAGGTACGGGCGTGCCTGCTGGGAAGCTGCCTGGGATAGCTGATGGCTCCGGAGTGCGCTGGATAGGCAAGGAGGCCGTTGACGGGGCCGTACGCTGATTCGAAGGAGAGGGATGGGAAGAAGAAGATGAGGATTCGTGGACTGATAGAGGTCTGATTGGGATAGCCGACTGCGGATATGTTGGTGGATCTGAGAATGCTCGAGCCGGCGCTGGCGGTGTCGAGGCTTGAATGGGCTGCTCTGGCGTTGCTGGGAGCAAATGTATGTGTTCAGATGGTATCCGAGATGGTGTTGACGATGGTGTGAGCTGCCTCGCTGGTAGCAAGGGCAGTGACACCGGGATTGGTGGCTCTGAATGAGCTGGTGAATGCAATGGAGATAGATGTGAAAGTGAAAACTCCGATTCAGCTGGATATAGCTCCTTCTCGACGTTCTCCTGCGGGGCTGGCCGCTGGATCTCTGGGATAGGATAGGATATAGTTTGAGTTTGAGGTGTCGCGAGGTCTTGCGACTGGGCTGAGAGTCGTTGAAGAGCCTGTTCGAGCTGTAGATCAAGCTCGTCTTCTTGTATGACTTCTGTAGCTTCCGGAACGGGCTCGAGAACTGGCTTTTGGGTGTGTTCGTGATGTTTGAAGCTAAGATTCTCATCGAATTTAGCATCCCGTACAAGCTTCACCGTATCTAGCCTAGGAAACCACACACGCCAGACGTTCGTCGTTTTATAGCCAGTCAGATAGCCAATTTCAGCCCGCGGATGCATCTTATCGGACTGAGGAATGCCCTGAATGCGTACGTACGTACGGCAACCGTAGAGACGGAGATTTGAGAGATTGATAGGGATCTGGATGCCTGTTCCTAGCCGGTGAAACTCCTGCTGTGGAATGATCCAGCGTCCGTCCGGTAGCTTCGTGGGCGATCTGTTTAATATATACACAGCTGTGTGTACAGCTTCAGGCCAGAGAGATCGCGGAAGATGGGAGTCTTGAAGCAGTGAACGTGAGGCTAAGATGATCACCCCCCCCAGATCGCTCTGCGTAGCTATTCATCTCGGGCGTGCCTACCAGACTGTGTATGATAACAAATCCACAGTCTTCGAGGTACTGCTGCACGGTACGGCCTGCTGAACGTTCGTTGTCATAGTGAAAAGCTCGAATTGGAAGGTTGAACCAATTACGAAGGATGGCGATGAACCTCCGTACTGCATCCTGGCAACCATTCTTCTGCGGGTGCGTCTCCACATGGTGATAGCGGATAGCATCAAGATAGAAGTGCGTGATCCATCGATCACCATTGAACCCTTCCTTAACCTGAATGAGGTCGAAATGAACTCGTCCGAGAGCCCCATATACCGGTGTTTGGGCTCGTCGGGAGACTTGGCGGGTGGCTTTCGTCAGTTGGCACGTCTCGCAGTGCTCAGGGTCTTCCTCCGTGCGCGTCTCTGCTGTGAGTTTGATACCGTCTGCCATCTCAGCGAGCTTTTCGACCCTCTGCTCGTACATATGGGCTAGGCGCTGATGCCAGCGTTTTGGAGTTGCTTCGGATGTGAGAGGCAAGGTTGAACGGCGTGGATGGGTGCTAAATGCAGCTGGCGATGAGAATTGAGCCTGGTCTAGCATGAACAGCCCATCCCATTCATTTACTCTCGCGACCACCCTTCCGGATTCCGTGCTAATAGCTTCTTTCCTCAGGTCCCAAATAACGCCCTTTTTCTTCATCAACCCCACGGATAACAAGCTGGTGTGAAATCCTGGCGAATAACGGACATTTTCCACTGTCAGAGGGACTTTTCGGTCTGTTTCTGGATTTCTGCCCCAGATCTTTACTGTTCCAACTCCAAATACACCTGTTTTGGTGTCACCAACTTGCACACTACCGCTGGTTTCCGTAAACGAAATGAAAGCTTCACGGTTGTTGGTAATATGACGGTTGGCTGCAGAGTCGACCAACCAAGCGCTTTTAAGTGGGTTTTCGGCATTATGACTGAAGAAAGCGTACGGAACTGGCCGAGAGATATTTTGGTTGAGCTGATCCTCACTAGAGCGGTCTGGCTTCTTAGTGGCACCATACGTGAAGAAACCCAGACCGGTATCTTCGTCAGAGTCCACGTTTGCAAAGTTGACACTCTTCTTCGGGTTCACTTCTTTATAGAGCTTTTCCGCCTTTGCTTTGGCGAATGGGCTGAGCTTTTTGATATTTTCCGGAAGTTTCCTTTCGATGGCAGGATCTGGTTTCCACCCGGACGGGCGTGCGGAAACAATAAGGTATGGACATGACTGGAAGTAGTGCTTCTGTCCACAGACACAGTCTGGGAGCTGTTTAGCTGATTTCTGCCGAGTTGACTGCGTTGACGTTGATCCAGCTTCTTTCTGACCATCTAAGGTGGCGAATCCCACTGCGGACTCTTTCCCACTCCTTTTCTTCTGTGAGGTTGCGCGGAGCTGGCGGAAATCGTTTATAACGGCAATAAATGAGACATCCTTACCCTCCACATTCTCCTTGAAGACCTTCTGGTAGGTATAAAAATAGAAATTCTCATCTAACGATCGAGCGGCACAGAGGAAGTCATATACTGCCACACGAGGATTGGTGACATCAGGGACTTGAGCGCTAACGGCTTCTGTATAAAGGCTTTCCCATTCCGTGAGCCATATATCCACCTGCGAGTCCTTTGGAGATGACCTTGCCTTATTCAACCATCTCACCCGCAATTCCAGCATGCGTTCGATTTCGGAAGGAGAGAACCGGTCCTTAAGGGCTTTTAGAAGTGTTCGAGGACTCTCGATATCGGCGATGAGGTGTTGGTGGCTGGTAGCAACAGTCCGTCGGATTTGCTGGCCAATTCGGTCCAAATTTCGCTGCGTCCACCTGAATTGAAGCGTCTGGCGATCTTGATGGGCAAGCAGGCGCTGAAAGACCTTATAATTATCGTCTGTAAGGTCTATGATCTCTTGAGCTCCCTCCTGGGCGTCGCCAGGTTGTGTTTCTTGGGGTTCCTCAGGGATCTTCTCTGGATTAGAAGCATCTGGATCCAAATACTTCCACACACCAAGGCTCTTAGAGGTGACCTTGATAGTGCTATACCAGGTTCTCCACTGGTCGGAAGAGCCTAGAATAATGCCTCCGGAGGCGCTGGAGCTGGATCCAGCGTCCAGCGTCTCGAGGTCTTGATAGGGAAGTGACATCTCGCGTCCGGTTTGAAGGGACTGTGTTGTGACGAGGACGTTCGGCTATGTATAGCGTCGGGGTGATAGATATCGATCGATGAGTGTTTACCACGGGCTAACCGGGCTCATAACTGTCGGAACGTTGTCGTTACAGTACGGACTAGTACGGGCATAGCCAATTGAGTACTTGAGAGTGTTGATTTTGAATACTATGGAAAGTACAAAATATATGCGATGTGGGCTTAGTAAGATCGTTAAAAGATGCAAACATGGTTGAAAACAATGGCATATGGGGGTGCTGGATAATTCTCGGGCGCACTAGTAAAACTGTGACCCTCTTTTATCGACAATATATCTTGCATGTACTGTATTAACTCAGCATATAGCGACACTATGTCAAATATTGTACAGTACGGAATATCGCCAAAGAGTACGCGATGAAGCTCGAGCCGAGAGAATTTCATATAGCAGAGCGACCGGAGTATGTACTACCATATCGAATCTAATATTTAGAAATCATTATTTCGCACTGTTTATCAACTTTTGCATTCGTGAAGGAACAAAGATCCCCACTCTGACGGCGATGAGTGTACCGTTGGCCACCACTTCACCGCCCGGGAGTCACCCGCACTGCACATCAACATGGATTCACGATTCACTGGTTCGGTCCCCATCACCATCATCACCAATTCTCAACCTTCACTCACCTCCAATTCTCACCATCAACACGCCAACGCCATCAACACGCCAACGCCATCACACACCGACACACTACCCACTCACCGTCGAAACTCCGTATCTCCCTACATCCAGACAAATCCTGCTTCCACCGCTAGCCAGAAGAGAAAAACATTGACACCAATGGAGACTACTTGAATTTCAGCCGCCACCCAGACTGGCCACCCCGCTATCATACGCCGTGATTCCAACCGGCCGCGTTGACTCAATGCTCTACTTCACGCTACGTGTAAGAAAATGCGTATTATCGAAAATCAGAGCATGATAGAAGGCTACAAAACACACTGCGCTAATAATGGCCACGCATGATGGAGTCTACATTGAATCTTGAAGTGCGCATACACAAAGCTTCCTTGGGGGGATTCTTGATTTCTATTGGGTCTTCGAAGCAGGTCTTGGCTTCTTCGAGTAACTCCCTCGAATACTAGTCTCTGACACCACGAAGAGGTGCCTGCAATCGTCAGAGGATCAGGACGAGGACCGCGGCGCCACGGGTCGCCTAACAAGCGCACATTTGATAACGCAGGGCTCAAGGCTGCATGGAAGCTCAAGATTATACAATCACAGGGCTCAGGGCTGTGAGGGAGAACTTGGTGTCGCAGCGGTCTCCTGCGGAGGTTCTTGGTAACGCAGGCGTCCCTGCGGAGCACATTTTTACAACGCAGGGCTCATTGCTGCGAGGGAGCACATTTTTACAGTCACAGGGCTCATGGGCTGTGAGGGAGAACTTTTTGACGCAGCACTCTCCTGCGGAGAACTTGTTGACGCAGCGGTCTCCTGCGGAGGCTCTTGATCTCGCAGATGTCCCTGCGGAGACTCTTGATGTCGCAGATGTCCCTGCGGAGGCTCTTGATGTCGCAGATGTCCCTGCGGAGACTCTTGATGTCGCAGATGTCCCTGCGGAGGCTCTTGATGTCGCAGATGTCCCTGCGGAGGCTCTTGATGTCGCAGATGTCCCTGCGGAGACTCTTGATGTCGCAGATGTCCCTGCGGAGGCTCTTGATGTCGCAGATGTCCCTGCGGAGCACATTGTTACAACGCAGGGCTCATTGCTGCGAGGGAGAACTTGTTGACGCAACACTCTCCTGCGGGTCTCAATTGGTAACGCAGCGTCCCCCTGCGAGGCAAACTTGATTACGCGGGGCCTTTCGCGCGAAGACTTTTTGGTAACGCAGATCTTACCTGCAAAAGACACCCAAGGCTGCGAGGCCCGGAGTGTGAGGAGGAAAGTCCTGCTTTTCTTTTCGACAGGAAAAGAGCGTCTTTTATGCTGTTCTGAGTAGGGGTTTCGGCAGCGACCACTTGCGTACATTTTGCCGAGTCCAGAGATTTTGACTTCAAATTTGCAGCGGGCGACCCTTATTTCGTGGGTGTTGAGGCGGTTTATCAACGTTGATTCAACGTTGAAATAAGAAATTTCAAGAGTTCGGGTTGGAGAGCGGGTGGAGTGGCTGGATCCACCTGGAGCCGTGGTTGGCATGATGCGATGCGTGACAAATCATTTGCCTCGTCAACGTTGTTGACAATGATGAAACGGCCTTTAGCGCAGTTTTGTATGAGATGTAGACCGAAGTGGCATGCCATGGGCTACTCGCCGTAGCAGCTTAATTTCTTGTGGCTCCAGAAATCTGCCAATATTCGCTCGCACCATAGCCAATCAATTCGCAAATCATTGGTCTCAACATTGATCAACGATGTGACACGGGTTTCACGCTGCTAATATGTAGAGTCGTTCCATAGAAGACTCGCCTTGGCAACTCGCTTGCCCATGCGCAGAAATTTTCGCCTGCAAAATTTTTGTTCTCGCCCCGTGAGAGAAAAATGATTTCCCTCAGCCTAGCCGACACATTTTCCGCCCCGATTCGCAATCACTGCAACGCGTCATGCCGCCCAAATCTTTGTTTCATTTGCCAGCACAGGATGACCAGGGTACTTCGTGTACCCACACCCACAAGCCGGTCGAGGTACCATCGATGAAGAGATGTCGACGCCGAGTCCGTCGTCGGAACATGATTTCGTCGCGCGCCAATAGAGACTCCGCCGCTGTCCAGCATTGCTCTCCACAGTCAATCAGCTACCGGTAAATCACCTCGCGATCCTCTCGAAACCGAACAATTTCAATTGACTGTCGAAGGTCCTTGAAATTCTTCTTGAAACAGAGTCGGGGACTGAATGCTAAGGGTAAGCTGAAACAAGAGACTAGAGTGCCTTCGCTGATTACAATCGATAGAGCTTATAGAGATTTTGTTTCCCATGCTAGGACTCTGTCCCTTTTCGAGCACAACATATGATCCTCCAAACGCTGCAACAGCACCTCGAGCATTCCGCCTTCCAATTTGTTCAAAATTGGCTTCTACCACAGTCTTTGGCTGTTGGTTGGACATGCCCTGAGGCACTGGAGCTGCACATGTTCTTCAAATTCTTAGCTAGAAATCGATCGAAGATCTCGTCCGAGCAGCATAGTGAAAATATCACCACTGTTCAGAACTTGCGCCATTTGATCGCCGGCATTCGCCACGCCGCTTTTCATCGCTTGGCTCAAGACAGAGATAGTCTGCTTGAGAAGAATTGTGCTGCCATCGAATTCTGCCTTCGCATCGGCGACAGCCATAGCGCAGAGAGTCTCTGTCGTCTCTTTGAATTCCTACAGAAAACCCTCCCGAAGTCAACCAGGATGCAAGTGCAGCCACAGCAGGCTGTTCCCTCTCATCCTCGCTTACCCAAGCTCTCTCTTCGCACACAACTACAAGAACGATCGATGATACCCACTGACGTGATCAAGCGACTCATTGGATGTATCGAGGAGGACTTGATTTCAGAGGTGATGCATTTCTTGCAGATTGAGTTTCCGTAAAGCGTGGTGCGTGGCTCGGTCCGATTTATGTTCGGGGACCTTAACGAATTGCGGCATGCTCCTGAACATGGTCAGCCCAAGCAAAAGAAACCTCTATGTACTGTAAACATTCAACTTCCCTTTCAATTTTACTTTATTGACCTCGTTACCCGTAGTCTCTGAAATGTGTGTCGAAATGTGCGTCGAAAAAAGGGTTACTCCGCATTTCAGGAATATATCCCGCATTTGGACGTACGCTTGAACAAAAGATTAGATCTACGTCACATTATGCAAAGACAATGCTTTCGAAGTGCGAGAGGAGGTGCCAGCAGCAGCTGAGCGACTGCATACTATAAGTAGCCCCGAGGAAGTGCGATCTGTTTTCACAATGAGGCCCCATTGATGTCGCGAGATTAGGGCAGCGAATACTCTCAGAACAGCATATTGACACTCATAATTTCTGGAGCGTGGTGTGTATAGGATATCTCAACAGTGCCATTGATGTTTCAACGTTGATTTCAGTAGTGCTTCATCAGCAAACCGATCTAATCGTGCTGCCAACGTTGGAATTATGGCTTCGGCATAGCCATGTCAAATAGACTGGCCTGTGATTTCCTATGTTTTTCAGAGCCGGTTATATCCGTGACCAGAGATTCATGGGCTATAAATTTCCTACTCATCATCGACTTCTGAGAAAATAACTTTTTTCCTCCGCCTCATACCCACCACATCTTCTCTGGTCCCACCAGGTAGGCAACGAATCTCAATCTAAAGCACCAACACCTGCTGATCTCTATGACTTTCCAGAAGAATACCACGGCCATCACGAGCCTACAGCCAACCACCACGATTAAGACTCCACCAGTCGCAAGATTGAATCTATGTTCTCCGAAAGAAATCCAAGCCTAAATCACCGCCCAGGAGGCAATTTCCTGAAGCTAAGAGAAAGTCTCCTGGAGCAGTTCCAACCGCTGCAAGAAAGACTTTGCCTCACTCTAGAAGAATCCCAGGACATATTGGATCAATTTGAAAAAAATGCGAGCCTCGCGGTCGTTTACAATGCCCCGATGATCAGTGTCAATCTTATGAAATGGATAGACGCCATCTTTGGTTCTCCAAGCCCGAAAATCATCCAGCTCGAAAATGGCACGATGCAGAAGACCATCACTTGGCTGGATGTTCTGAATGCAGACAGATCCAAGATCGAATTCAAGGAAGCCGAAATCTATAATTATTATCTGTATGACTTCAACGCAACTGCAGAGCTGTCAGACTTCCAGCATAATATGATGAGTTCCGGCCTACCACAGAAATTGATTCAACCTTGGTACTACAAGAGGGATGTCCAAACAGAGTTATATACACTGTCGTTCACTGCCGAGATGGTTGCAATTTCGAACCAACTTGCATCAAAAGGTGAGTTATGTTACGCCTTATCCGGTAGAAA